CCCCCCCCCCGCCCCGCCCTTGGGACTGGCAGAGCCCAGACGCTCTTTCTTGGGACATTCCACACACGTGTTCAGCAGAAACAAGGAGTCAGTGAAGAAGAGGGGGGCCTGGGGGCGGGGCCTGGGGGCGGGGCCTGGGCCTGGGGAGACACAGCCTAACAGAGAAGACAGACCACCAGTAGCACGTGCACCACACACGAGTATAGTACGTACGAATATAGATACTATATGTGCATATATATCTCTTCGGTGTACAACAGAACAGAACATCAGACCCAGATGGCTCTGGGCCTGGAGGGTCACATGGGAGGTTTTCCGTCAGTCCTGTGCAAACAAGGGTCTCTGAGTCTTTCCCAGCGAAAGATTCTTGCCAGGGTTCCAGAGTTTCCCTAAGCCTTTGGCTTTCTGTCTGTCTGCCTGCCTCTCTCATGTTGGTGCCGCTTAAGAGAGGGTGAGGACTTCAGCCTGGGCATAGCTGGGCGAGAGGGCGTCTTGGCAGGTCTCTGTGTTTAAAGAGCACAGGTGTGAGACACTGGGACGCACGCTTTCGGCTCAACATTGCCGTCTGGGGGGGCAAGGAGTTCAGCAAAAGAAAGGGAGAAACAAAGAATGAGATGTTAGAAGGAAGCCAGCTGCTGACCCACAGCCTGTGGGCTAAGGACTAGGCCAGGAGCAGAGCTGGAAGGCATGGGGACCCCGGGCTAAGAGGCCAGGAAGAGCAAGGATGGGTCAGCGAATGGGGTGAGCCCCTTCATCACCCCTCTGCCTACCCAGCACTAGGCCAAGGTGACTCGTAGGCCATGTTACAGCTTATCTCCATACCTGCTCATGTAACGAGCTCCAGGAATCACAAGCCCTCAGGTCTTCAAAACCCCAGTGCTGTGGGCGGAGGGATCACAGCCCTACATGCTGGCACGGAGGGAGTGGGGGACGTTCCTGGTGTGGCCTGGAGTCCAACCTGGGCGGCCCACCCCCGCATAGCTCTACCTGCCACCTACCACCTGGGGCCACTCCATTGTCCCCGGGGCGGAGGGACGGGGGTGGCTGGTGAAGAAGGTGCCTGAGTGTGCTGCCCTGTTGTGCCCGGCCACAGTTCCTCAATCTGGCAGGAACAGAGTTCTAGCAGTTGGAGGGTGGATGCCGAAGGGGAGGGTCAGGGAGGATGCACGTGTCCATCTCAGAAGAGAAGGCCAGAAAGGAGCATCTTATTGAGAAACCCAACCCTTCTCAGTGAGCCCTTCTCGGCAGCTCAGCCTCAGCCTGGATGTCAGTGGCCTGGGTCTTCCCTTCCCCTACCCTCCCAGTGGGGGCACAGGCAGGGCGGGCAAGGAGGCTGCTGTGGGGGCAGGGATTTGGGGGTGATACTCTCTGACCAGGGCAGGGGAGGCTCTCCTCTCCCAGGAAGCTCTGTGACAGGGTAGTCTGGGCCCAAGGGGGTGACTCCTGGAGCCCCAGCCCTCGGGCTGGTACTCAGTCTCCCCTCTGACTCCCGGCCTACACTGAACAGACATCTTCCACCTCTGGTTCCAGCTCGCAGCTCTTCCCAGAAGCCCTGGGGGCTGACAAATGCCTCTAAGTTTGTCAGCAGGCCTGGTACAAACTCGTAAGGTGAACAACTCCTACCCCGGCTGCTTCCCTGCTCTGTGGGGGAGGGGGTGGGCCCCAGCTGTGAGGGAAAGGCTTCTAGAAGACAAAGTAATGGGTACAGGTCCAAGTCTACACCCAACGTGAAGCCAACTGTGCTCTCAGATTACAGGTGGAAGGGAGAGCCTTCCCCTAAGGAGGGAGGCCCAAGGTCTGGACAGGCTGAGGCCCACGTAGGCAGCTGCGTTCCTAGGCAGGGCCCCGTGTACAGTGGGTCTCTGCAAACTCCAGGACTCACTTTGTCCCTTCCCAGGGCCCTGGGAGGTCCAGAGGTCCTGAGAGGTAGCAGCCTACTCAGCCGTCCTGTTAGCTAGGTCCTCTGTTTCCCCCACGGAAGCCAGAGAACCAGGGGGGACAGGTGGGAGCCCATCTCCCAAGGCACCAGGGGCTCCAGCTTGGCACTCCTGCATCATGTCGCCCAGGGACATCTGTGCCCACCGGAGGGGTGCCATGAGCATGCCCATCCCTGTGGGAGGGAGGAGAGGGAAGGAGGAGGTGGGTACCGTGGAAACTTGGGCTCCTGACAACTTGAGGGCCGCCACAGAAATAGCCAGCTCAGTTCCCCGAACCAGAAAGGCAAGTCAGAGGAGAAAATAGCTGTGGCGTCCAGGCTAAACTGGACACCTAGCTCATCACATCCCCATCAGACTCAGGACCCCCAGGCAAGGAGCCCTGCGGGGCCAGGACCGAATCCGTCCTCACGAAGGAAAAGCAGCTGGGCTCTCAGATTCAGCGACGAGACAGTGCCTAATGTCTCCATCCTGCTCCACAGGGCTTCCCAGCCCCGGTCACTGAAAGGGGCCTGTCCAGGCCACATGGATGCCGCTGTATTTTCTCATCTCTTAGCGGGACATTTCATTCTGAGAACAAGCAGGAGACAGGCCCCACAGGACACAGCAGGGCTGGGGTATGCCAGTACCCATCATGAACACACTTTTCCAGAAGGGACATTCGTGTGTCTGCCCAAGGCTGAAGACAGACGGCACGGAAATGGGGGTGCTCCTGGCACAGGTTTTTCACAACAGCCAACCTCATGAAATGGTCTGACCTTTCTGCCCAGTGCACCTTCCGGGGTGGCCTCCCAATCCCCCAGCCTCCTGCCGAGTCCCTGAATTCTGTCCTTCCATTCCTATCTTTGCCCACCCTGGAAGGAGCAGATACGGACCTTAGTCATTCCCTCTACAAAGTTGCATAATCTGACTCTAAAAATTGCCAGGCGCACGGCTCCACTGTCAGGTCTAATTCCCATCAGGTGAAACAGGAAATGGCTTGGCCGAGGCCTTCTGCGTTCCTGAAGCTGAGGGGGCCCAGAGAGCCTCCCTGGCAAGCTGCTGGGGAGGGGCCGCCTGCAGCCCGCCCTGCCTGGCCCGGGAGTGGCCACGTGCGAGGGGCAGGATGGCTTCTGTCCCCACGCTTCCCCTCAGCTGCCCCTGCCCAGGGGGCACCCCTGCTCACTCAATGACTCACAAACCTGTTGTGCTCCTGGGCTCGTTAGGTAAATGAATACACTTAATTATAGAAATTAGATGAGTCTCCGGTTCTGGCAGCAATACAGAGCGCAGAGGCTGGGTGGGAGCGGCAGGTGACTCAGAGGCAGGGCTGGGAGTTTGGGGGAGCGGAGAAGGAGGGAGGAGAAACTGTCGTGGAAGCAGAGAAAGCAGCGCGGGAGAGGCACCACTGCTGGGGCGCAGATGGGGTGCGGGGCTCTGCCGCCGGGTGTCACTCCGGAGAGGAGGGCATTCCCACGCCTAGGCAGCCAATTGTGGGGCCCCAGGGACCCCCACCTGCGTGCCAGGCCAGGGCTGGGGAACATCAGGCCTCCTCTCCCAGGGCGGCACTGCTCCCCTCGCGGGCCTAGCTCCCTGCACACCAGCAAAGACGCCCCACGAGACAGCCTTATTCTTGGCTGGTCTGGGTGTGGGATGGACAGACAGACAGACAGAGATATTCAGTGGCAGGCTGGTTGCTGACTGAAGGCCACGAGGAATGAAAATGCATTTGCTGTGATTACGACGGGGCCCTGAGGGCAGGCAAGGCCCAGAGTCACAGGTCCTGGGTGGGGGGCTGGCACGTCCGGCTCAGGATGGGGACTGGGGAGGTGTAAGCCCTGGGCGTAATCTCCCCCTTGTTCTCAGGCTCCAGAGCTGAACATTCTGGGGAGCTGGGTGCTGTGGAGGAGAGGCTCAGGGGCCTGGATTCTCCTGCATCCCGCCCGGCTCCCTCAGGCCCCAGGAGGTATGAGGGCTGGAGGGCATGTGAGCGTGTGCGCCCGGGGGGTGGGGAGAGCCAAGGGTGCCGCTAAGGGGCCGGGTGTCCAGGTGGAGGGCTGGTGAGAGGGTGGAAGGGGTGGGAGAGCGGGGGTTTTCTTGGAGGGTAGGGTGAGCTGTATCTTGATGCCAGTGGAGACAGCCCCAGACTGGTTCCAGCTGCTCCAGCTATGTTGTTTAGACTCCGGGACTTTGCGCAGCCTTGGTGAAGAAAAGGCACATGGGTCAGAGGGGCCTGGTTCCTCATCTGAGCAGCTCCGTGGGATCCATGCTCCAGGGGACCCCGCGGGGCAGTCAGCCCTGGGCTGGTTGAGGGGTCTGGCCCGCCTGGGAAAGGCTCCCTGACGTTCTTGGGCTTCCAGGTCACCTGGGCTCCAGAGGACAGATGCCAGGGCCGCACAGCTGATCTCTGCCCTGTCATTGTCCCCAAGTAAGTTCCCTTCCAGCTACACATACACCCCCCAGCCTCCAGCACCTTTCTACACCATCTTCAGAAGCCCTGATCAGCACCGGTCACCTTCCCCCCCAGGGAGTTCACACTCTGACACTTGGGCAGCTATAGGCTCACAAGGGAGTCTCTGCCCGTGGCTGAAGGAGCCCTGGGCCCCCTACGCCAGGTCCCACACGTAGCCCCAGCGCAGAGAAGGGAGGCACGGTCTGGCATGGGGAAAGTTGCTGAGTGCTTGCTGGGAGTTTGGCGATGCTAACTGCCACGCTCGCTTAGCAGGGCCTGTTTCCCAGCAACCCACCTGTTCCCTCTCGAAGGTCACTCTAATTGGCTGAGCTGCATGCTTGTTGCCAAGAAGCAGTGTGGAGGCATCTTGAAAATAGAGCAGCCGGGCCACACGAGCTCCCAGAGAGATCTGGCGGTGCGGTACACGCTCCCCAGCCCAGGCACGTGCCCCTCCTGCCCCGGGTGTGACCCGCTCCCCACCTCCTCACGGTCCCGCCTGACTTGTACCCTCACAGCCTCTTCCACACTGCTACTTCCGCCAAGCCCTTCACAATACTGGAGTGCAAACAGGGCTGTCGGGCAGTCAGCTCGAGGCCTACATGGGAGGCAGGGTCCCCTCTGCCCCACATTCCGGGCCATCACTCAGCATGCTCCAGCCACAGCAAGTCTCTGGGTCTGAACCAGGACGCAGCAGAAGCCGCTGTGTGTTTGTGACAGGCACATCCAGAGCCCAAGGACTGGGACACGCAGAGGACAGGGAGACCAGAGAGACGCAGGAGAGAGTGTAAATGGTCTGAGTACCTTCAACCTGCAGCCCCGTAGCTGGGGCCTCTGGGCCATCTCCTTCCAGCTGCCAGATGGCAGCTCCTGCTGGTGACACCCAACAGTACATATGCCCAGCACAGCTGGACACACACCTCTCAGCGCCTCATTAGGGTCAGGGTGCCCTGGGGATCCCGTGGGGGCAGGGGCTGGGAAGGTGCCCATGCAGGCTGCATGAGATGAGCAGGCCAGGAGACATGCTTGGGGGGACAGAGGCATCACAGACACTGCCCCGACTCACTCAACCCAGACCTGGACTGGAGTTTGGGACAGTGAGAAGTGGCAGGGGTCGGGGGGGGGGGGTGTGTGGATTTGGTTAAGAGGGCTGGTTAAGAAGTGGCCTGAGAACCCAGGGACAAGCTTTGTTTCAGGAGGAGTCAGGGTTTGTTCTGGAACTAGGTAGGGCATTTAGGCAGGTTAAGTCACAGGGACAGGGCAAGAATGACAAAAAAGTGATCAGGAACCGGGCAGGAGCACCTGCTCTTGAGACTCCTGTTCTCAGCCACTACCGACCCTCAACCATCCTCCATCATTGCTGACTCCCTTTTTGCAAGTAAGGAAGCCCTAAGTCCACGGCCCAGCTTCTGCCCTGCTCCTGCCACAGCTAGGGGCCTGCCGATGAATTTCAGCCTTTCCTTACTGGACAGGATGGGCTACTCTCCTGAATCCTTCAAATCCTTCAGAGCACACCTCAGAGGGGACACAGAGTCCCTACCCATCCCTACCCCCTTCCCCACCCCTTGGTCACCTGCTGGCTCTGCCTCAAGAGGCGTGCAGAGCTGGGCTGACCCCTCCCGGGCTCCTGGACCCCCAGGGCAGGATGAGGAGGTCAGGCCTGTGCTAGGCTCTCCAAAGACATCACACCAGCAGCTCATTCTTATCCTGACTCCCGAAGGCTCTTGGTATCTCTCGGGACTTACTTGGGAAACCTTAGCTGTGTTTAAGGGAGGTCTAGGGAAAGTCTGGCAGTGACCCTGTGGAGCCAGGCCTCAAGGTCGTGGCAGGAACCAGAGGAAGAGGTGGTGATCAAATGGAGGGGAAAGGCAGGGGCCGCTGATTTGGCCTGCCCTTAGCCTCTAGCACTTAGTCTTTCTTCCCTGTGGCCATGGTGGGGGGCGGGGAGGGGCGTGGGTGCTGGGCTCTGTGAACCTCTGGGGGATGCCGGAGGCCTTTCTAGTCCAGGGAGTGGGAGATCAGGGTACTCATCTTAAAAGCGGGGGCACATCCAAGGCAGAGGAGATGGTGGCCAAGGCCTCAGGGGAGGAGGGGACCTTAAGGTTTGCAGGGGACACTGGGGAGACTCAGCTCCCTGGGGGCTCTCCACCTGCCCGGCCTGGGGAGCCATACCTTTCCGGACACTACCATCGGCACAGGCATAGTCCCCGGCGCTGAGCAGGAAACAGGCGGCTGCCTTCTTGTTTTTGTCTCGGGGGCCAGAGCGTCGCAGGGCCCGGCGCTCCTCAGGGGTGGGGGCAGAGGCCAGGGGCTGGGTGAGGCCAGCTCCCTCCTCATCGGACAGCACCGCATTGGCATCGCCGTTCTGCTTGGAGTCTAAAGGGAGCAGACAGAAAGGAGGCTGTGTGAGGGGCTGCTCGGGCCTTCCTCATGGGCTCACCTGGGGGCTCTCCAATCCCAGCCCTAGAGCGTCACTTCCCTCACCTGAGGGGGCCTGGCATCTCCCTGGGAGGGCCAGCGAGTGGGCCTGGCCCTGGGGGCAGGGGGCGGAATTCCCTCCTTCCCTCTCAGCCTTGGCCTAGGGTCGTTCCCGGGACAAGGAGCCACAGATACCCCAAGCCGGGGCTCCTGAATTCTGTCTGCCGCAGGCTGTCCCAGGAGATTAGCCTGAGGCAGGCGGCCGACTCTGCTTCCTCCTTGGGGCTGGCTCAGGCTGACACTTGGATGAGTTTGCATTCCCTCAGAGAACACCCGGCTTGCTGGGATGAGGGCTGGCACCACCAGGGTTAAACCAATAAATAGGCCTCCACGGCCATCTCTCTGGACCCCCTGTAGGCGGTTAATCTTGCTCACCAGGCACCTCAGGCAGAGTCAAGTACCTAAAGGATTTGGAGCCCTCCGCTTGGGGCTCGCTTGTCTGGGGAAGACCCTGCACAGAGGAGGCTCCAGTTCAGCTCCCACTGCTGTGGGCTCTTAGCCCCAAGCCCCTGCCTCCGTCAGGCAGCACAGCGGGCCCTTGGCTGGCTCGCTCTGAAGGCAGCGGCCTCAGCATGGGCCAGGAATGCCCTGACCACGGCCAAGTAGTTAGGGTCAGGCTGAGGTGCAGCTGACAGCAGCCGCGGGTAAGTGTGCATCCAGGAGCTGGTGCAGGGACTTGCGCATTTTGATATTAGGTTTCCCTCCGAGCTCTGAACGGGCCTCGGGGTACAGCTGAAATTCCCCGAGGCCCTGGCTGGGAGATTTCCACCCAGGGATGGGGGAAGGGGCACCACTTTGGTGAAGTGGGGAGCCTGAGGGGGGTTGTTCCATCAAGGCCCCCAAATGACCCCAGGGAGTGAGTAGCCCCAGCGTGTACTACCGCCACCCCCCAACAGGCCATAGGTGAGTGTTATGAGTCAGGCACCCCTCTGGAGAGTGAGTCCCACTTTGCCCCCAGAGCTTGGCCAAAAGCTGCTACCTTTGTCTCCTGGCCCACCCCCAGCCTCCCGATGGCCTGGCATCTAAGGGCTGCCCAGGCGAGGAATCCCAGACCTCCCTCCGGAGCCCCTCCCACCACACTTAGGCTCCGGCTCTCCAGCCTAACTCCAAGTTTCTGTGGGTTAAGCCGATTTCCTTTCCCCTCTCTTGACGCAGGTGGAAGCAAGCTTTCCAGGGGTGGCCTTTCCCATCCTTGAAGAACAGGATCCAGACCTGGAGGCCCTCCCCCTCCAGGGTGCAGAAGCCGTTTCTTCTACCCTTCCTTTTCCCCTGCCCGACACTGTCTGGGCTACTCCCTCTCGGTTCCCTCCCATCCCATGTTAAACCCCGAGCCGAGGACTCAATCTAGCTTGTGCTGAACAGAAGGCAGCCTCCCACTGCTGTTACGTTATCACATTTATTAGGCCAAGAGACATCAGACTCCAACGTTTGGAAAGAAATGATTCACGTGTTGATGCACCTTGGCAGAACAGCTGCCCTGCTCTCTAGCTAACAACGACAGCGCCTGATGCTTGTAGAGTGGTTTTCACTTCTCCAAATACTCTCAGATATGTTATTCATTTGGGTCTCCTCAAAGTCTTGGGGAGTAGGAGATGACTCCCATTTTACAGGTGAAGAACCTATGATCAGAGATGGTTAGTGACTGGCCTCAGGTCACACAGCACCGTGGCCAAGATGGTACTTGAATTCACAGCCCCGTGCACCGCCCGCCGCAGCCTAAATTGGGTGGTAAACTCACTCCACAGACCCTAATTTCAGAAAGCTATTGGAAAACCAGAAGAGAGAGAGATTTGGCCTCGACACTTTCTGCTTTTAAAGACACATCTTACATACTTAGGGCAGCCCGGGACAATAAAGGACAATCCCAAGTCCCAAGGGCTGAGGTTCACTTGGGGACTCCCTCCACCACTGGAGGGGAGGTGGCTTTCCTTCCCAACCCCCAATCTCACCTGCCCGTTTCCTCTCAACCATACCCTCTTCTGGGGCAGGGGGGCTGGTATCACTGTAGGTGCTGTCCCGGGGCGAGGTCTCCTCAGACTTGCAGTAAATGGGTGACTCAAGCTGGGGTGGCCGGGGCACGTGCTTCTTTCTTTTTTTAGGCAGCTTCTGCTTGGCCATGGCCAGGGAGTAGTACATGCCGAAGTTGTTGACGATGACCGGCACGGGCATGGCGATGGTGAGCACGCCAGCCAGTGCACACAGCGCCCCCACCAGCATGCCCGACCACGTCTTGGGGTACATGTCCCCATAGCCCAGCGTCGTCATGGTGACCACCGCCCACCAGAAGCCAATGGGGATGTTCTTGAAGTCGGTGTGGTCGTTGCCCCGTGGGTCGGAGGGCCTGGCGCCAATGCGCTCGGCATAGTAGATCATGGTGGCGAAGATAAGCACGCCCAGGGCCAGGAAGATGATGAGCAGGAGGAATTCATTGGTGCTGGCACGCAGGGTGTGGCCCAGCACGCGCAGCCCCACGAAGTGGCGTGTGAGCTTGAAGATGCGCAGGATGCGCACGAAGCGCACGACGCGCAGGAAGCCCAGCACGTCTCGGGCTGCCTTGGAGGACAGGCCGCTCAGCCCCACCTCCAGGTAGAAGGGCAGGATGGCCACGAAGTCGATGATGTTGAGCAGGTTCTTGACGAAGTCTAGCGTGTCAGGGCAGCACACGATGCGCACCAGGAACTCCAGTGTAAACCACAGCACACACACGCCCTCGATGTAGGTCAGGATGGGCTCTGTCTCCACCTCCCGCCGGAAGTGCACGCTGGTCGTGTTCCCCACTCGGTGGATCTCTGTCACGTTGCGGTCAATGTTGAAGGCCTCGTGGGTCTCCAGACAGAAGGTGGTGATGGAGACCAGGATGAAGAAGAGAGAGGCGAAGGCCACCACCTGCGGGCGAGGAGGAGAGTGGGGCGGTTGTCAGGGATGGACGGGCGCCGTCCTGGTTGTGGAGAGTGAGGGCATGGGTCACCGGAAGGAAGGACGTTAGATGGTGAGAGGCGGGATGAAGGTAGTCGTGGGCTGGAACTCCCTCCTCAGAGGGTCTTTACCCATCTGCTCGGGTATTTTAAGGTAATTCTTCCCAATCTTTGTCACGGCACACAGAAGAGACAGGCTGCTTCTGGCTGGAGGCAACTGGACAGGAAACTATACTATTGCCTACGATGCGCCCCACACCCCCCGCCCCCCGCCCTTAATGCTTTGGCTCCGCCCACTGCTGACTCTGGCCCCGCCTCCTGCCTAGCTCCGCGCCCCTGTAGAAGGGTCGTGCCTTAAAGCTTCTCAAACTGTAATGGGTATATAAATCATCTAGGAATCTTGTTAAACTCTGATTCTGATTCTGATTCTGATTCAGGGCCAGGGTAGGGCCTGTGATTCTGCATTTCTAACAAACTCTCAGGAGAGGCTGCTGGTCCACAGACTACACTTGGAGTAATTAGGCTTTAGGGGCAGTGGTCCTCAAAGTGAGGTCCCGGACCAGCTGCAGGAGCAGCAGCACTTGGGAACTAGTTAGAAATGCAAATTCTTGACGCCGTAAACTTACTGAATGAGAAATACTGAGGGTAGGGCCCAACTATCTGCTTTAACAAACCTTCCAGGTAATTCTGATGCACGCTAAGTTTTGAGGTCCACTGTGTTAGGGATATGCCCAGAGAGAGGGCCTGGAGGGAATGAGTCTGGGCCTCTTTCTGCCAGCTGAGTCTTAGAACTCCAGCCACAACCCCCCACCTCCTCAAGTCCCAAGTCCCAGCCCCTCTCTACTACCTTGCAGCTTAGAATGTCCCAGCCAAATGCCCAGACAGTGAGAAGTGTCTGAACGAAGGTAAGCACGTTCCATAACAGGAGACAAGGGGGGGTCTGCCCAGAATAACCACCCCTCCCCTTCCCGACACCTGGCATTTCCTGGGACACTGAGCTCCAGCAAAAAATAAACTGCACCCACTGGGATCGGAGTGTGGCAGGGGCTGATCCAGACGGCTCGGATCTCAGGTAGAATGATAACAGTGGCACCCGGCAGAGGAACAGCTAGGTTTAAGTGTCCAATCATTATGAATGGAGATGAAATGCATGTGTAATAACACCAATTACGGAACCCTCATCTGTTATTCATGCAATGCCATTCACCACTGTCAGGGCACCTGTTGCTGGGGTCTCTGCCCCCTGCTGCTGCCTGTCCTGCTCCGTGCGTGGGGATGAGCTTCCTCCCCGGGCAGAGGGCCGAGCTTAAATAGGTGGACGGGGAAGGACTGTGGCCCCGTGGCCACCTGGCAATCCCCACACACTGACTTCCACCTGGCCATGGCTAATGGTGCCCCTCAGGGATGCTTTCCTCCCTGAGAGTCTGCATGAGAGAGGGGGAGAAGGCACACCTTGTTCTTAGTATTGCAAAACACCAATGGAGAATACAAGGGGAGCTGGGAAAATGAAACAGCAGCACCTCCGGGGCTTCTGGAGCAGAAGCAAGTCTGAGAGAACTTTGGGAATGAACATCCGTTAGCTGTCTGTTTTGTCCTGGCACAGCTGGGCACTTGGTACGTGTTACCGCCTTCGGTCCTCCCTGTGACCCTGTGAGGTAAGTCTCATCATCTCCTTTTAAGGAGGAGGAACTAAGCATCAGAGAGGTTTAAACGCTTGCCTAAGGTCACATAGCCTAGAAGGGTTGGAAACCAGACTTGAACTCAGAACTGTTTACCTTTGGAGGCCGTACCTTCTCTTCACACCGCACTGCCTTCACCACCTCCCAGGCACGATCAATTCACAGACCCAGGAAAGTCCTCTCTGAACTGTCAATACTGTTCCTAGCGAACTCCTTGATGACTACTATTTTACCCTTAGGGTTATGTACCTTGGACTTAAGACAGACACCCATTGCACAGTAACACATCTTATTTACACTTGACCATGGACAGGTTGATCAAATGCAGCAAGGAAGGAGAACGGAGGTAGCAGACCACTTTCCCCACTTGAACAACTCTGCCTGGAGCTTCTCCTGTTTGTGTCTCTCCTATGAAGGTAAATTTCAAGTTCCTTTTCTGATCTCTCTCTCTCTTTTAAGTTTATTTATTTATTTGAAGAGAAAGAGAGAGACCCCAAGCAGGCTCCACGCTATCAGCACAGAGCCCGATGTGGGGCTCGATCTCACGAACCATGAGATCATGACCTGAGCCGAAATCAAGAGTCACGTGCTTAACCGACTGAGCCACCCAGGTGCCCCTGATCTCATTTTTCTTCCCCGAGAAAGGTGCTATCAAGGCAATACAGACCGATGTGGGTATGAGGCAAATGGCTCCAGCCTGGGGGCTCTCCGTGGCCATCCAGAGATGAGCTGGTGGTGGCACCTGTTGAGTGGCCACCGTGATGCTGGGAACCGACTCCGGGCGCTGCTCCCATCCCCAGCAGCAAAAGGGGTGGGGTAAGGCGTGGAGACGGCATACCCTAGCTCTGCCAGGAAGCATGGGAAGCAGGAGCCTGCTCTCTCCGAGGAAAAATTAGCCAGGAGAGTTGGCCCACCTGGGAGCCGAGCGTGAAGTTAATTAGTGATTTGGAAAAACAAGTTCAGGAAGAGCTGCCAAGGGGCTGAGCAGAGGGCACAGAGAGGGGAGAAGGGGAGGGAGGGCAGTGTGCCGGCCACCCTCTTACCCACAGGGCCAAGGAGCCAGCCTTGGTGCCTTCCTCACTGGCGCCCGGGCTCCTTCTGCAGCCGCCCAGTAAGTACAAACCACCCCTCCTGCCTTAGGGAACAGCCCTCTGAATTCCTGCGGTGTCCACTCACTTGTGCTGTTTTTCCTTATAGCTGTTGCAACTATTTTCTCGTACCACTCACCTCAGCCCTCCCAGGAGATGGGGCTGATAAAGGGTAGCCACATGTGCCCATTTCCCAGGCACGAGAAAGGGCAAATGACTCGCTCAGGATCAGACAGAGGCCAGGTCCCCTGACTCTCAGCTCAGAGTTCTTTCCACTTGGTCCTCTAACCAAACAGTCCACTCCTCTTTGGTGACATCTTCATGGGGTCTCAGTCTCTCCTGTGACCTCTCGAGGGCTGGCAGCAGGTGCAAGGCAGGCCCCAGAAAGCCCCCCCTTCCCCAAGGAGACAGGCACACCACCTGAGGCTGAGCTGGGACAGATGCAGGCACCTGGGCTCTGGCGTGTTGCCCCAGGTGGGTCCTGAGGTTACAGGTTCCCCTGTCGGGCCCCAATGATTCCTTTCTCCTTAGGTTATTCCCGAACTGAATTATTTTGTAAGCAGTGGTCCTAAGCAAGTGCAATCAAGGCCCTTCACCTCCAGCAGCAGGGACACGGCTTTCTTTTTTCTCCCACTCTCTTTATTGGGGACTTCCGGGGACAGAAAAGGACCAAGGAAGGAGGCAGTGGCTGCAACAGCACCCAACTTAGACATCAAGGCCTTGAGCTGGAGCCTTCTGAGCGGCCCTTGCTGGGCCATCCCATACAGCTAGTGGGGTACACTTGTACCTCCTTCCCATGGTACCTGCTGGGCAGAGACTGAGGACAAAGAGCTAAGGAGCCCTGGGGTCAGACTGCCTGGGTCCCTCATCCTGGCCCAGCCACTCACTAGGTAAATGCTGCGCTTTGTACAGGTCTCTCACTACAAAATGGGGCCAGCACTAGCTCCCAGCCAGGGGTGTGGGCATGGTCTCCAAGGACCCTTACATGCAGCTTCTGAGAGGCTGAGTTGGACCTGGAGCCAGAAACATCACAAAAATCTTTGCTTTTTAGAAGCAAACGGACCCCAGGAGCTCACCCAGTTCAATTCCCTTTCTGCTAGTTTTGCAACCAAAGAAACCGAGGCCTGGGGAGAAGGGACTTGCCCCGGTTCCCATGGTGGAAGATGTCAGTTCTTCCCATGCTACCTGAGGACACGGGACATAGATTCTGCTGGAAGTCAAAACTGCCCAAGCGGAAAATTGCTTATGTGATCTGGTTTGGCCAGCAGCTACGCTCCTCCCCGCTGGAAGGATGCGGGAGGGTCTCACCACCCTGGACAGGAGGTTCCGAGCCTCTGTGCTGGAAAGCACCGCCCCTTCCAGCTTCCTGCTCCATGGGCTCCCCACACACAGGCTGGCTGTAGCCTGTGGGGGACCCACCTGTCCGGAGACCCAGGTGTTTTGCCTGGTGAGTCAGCCCTGTTATCAGCCTCCTTCACCAAGCTCATCCTAAAACTGCCGATGGTAGGAATCTCAAGTCACGTGCTTCTGGGTACAAGCTGGTCTCTGCTACTCACTGCCTGAGAGACCTTAGGCAAATTTCTTAACCTCTCTAAGCCTTAGGGTCTTTGCCCATAAAATGGAGATCTTTGCCCATAAAATGGCCTACTATGTGCCAGGCACTGTTCTGGGCGCTGGGGAACAGCAGGAAACAAAACAAACACCCCTGCCCCTTAGGCCTTACATTCTAGGAGAAGGAAACCATCAACAAATAAGCAAATACATAGTATGCCAGATGGTGTAAGTGTTAGGAAGACAAATAAAGAGGAAAGGAGGTAGAGTATGAGGAGGAGGGAACTATTTCATTTTCTTTTTAAACTATTTTTTTTTTCAATTTGTTTTGAGAGAGAGAAAGAGCACGTGCACGCGCAAGTCGGGGAGGGGCAGAGAGCGCGAGAGAATCCCAAGCAGGCTCCGTACTGTCAGCGCAGAGCCCTATGCAGGGCTCGAACCCACGAACCATGAGATCATGACCTGAGCCGAGATTAAGAGTTGGACGCTTAACTGACTAAGCCACCTAGGTGAGCGGAGAGACCTATTTCAAATAGGGTGATTAGGCAAGACCTCGATGCCAAGGTGACACATCTAAGCAGAGACCTGAAGGAGTGAGGAAGTGAGTTATATGAAGATCCAGGATACCTGGAGAGGCAGAGGGAACAGGCACTGCAAAGGACCTGAGGCTACAGAGTGCTTGATGTGTTGAGGGGGATGAGAACAGTACCCACTTTATAGGGCTGTTTTGAGGATTAAAAGAAATGATATTTGTAAAACTCAGCACAGAGCCTAGAGTGTCTCAAGAATCTGGCACAGGCTGGGTCGGGGGGGTAGGGGGGAGGTGACAGACACCAGTCATTGGGAACTGAATACAATCAGCGGGGGCAGGGGAGGGGGGCCCAAGGAGAAAGGGCCAAGGAGACAGATGGACCGATAAACATAAGAAGACTCATGCCCAAAACCTATATTAAGGATGAAGTGTAGGAGAAGAGAAATCTGAGAACACCGCCAAAGACACTTGCAGAGAAGATCGGTGGGGATGGGATGAGGCGCTGAGGCTTCCGGGAAAGTGAGGTCCTAGAGCCCAGGCAGCGCTGCAAAAGGAGCGAGCAGGCCTGCGGGCTCAGAGGCAGGAAAAGAGAGACAACGTGTCAGGCAAAGCATCTCTGAGCTGTCCCTAGGCTCCTGAGTGAGGGCCTCAAAGTGCAGGTATCAGCCTAGCGACCCCTGTTCCTCTCCTTTCATGGGCTCCCCTGGGAGCAGACCCTGGCCCTGGGACCTCCTATCTTGGTTCCAGGGGCCACAGCCTGCCGCCACCTATGCCCCCCTTCTGCCAAGCCAGCACGTGGGGTTTCTCAGGGCCTCTGGGCTGCCGGGAGCTGATGAGTCCGGCCCCAGAAGGAATTCAGTCCAGCCCAGATCGCCGGCCAGGAACGTGCCCAGCCAAATGCGATTCCTGGCTGTTGCCTATCTGTGTTCCGTGCTGTCCTATCTCTGCCGGGGCCGGTCGCCTGGCCAGAAAATTCGCCCCTTCCCTAACTCCGCATGGTTAAAGCACTACTCACGGTGAACATTTATTTATTTATTTATATATTTATTTATAGCCTGCCTCCTTCTAAAAATTATTTAAGAGAGCTAAGTCATTATCCTGCAGGGCCTATCCAGCTTAACTTCTATTTCCTCCTTGAGGCTTTCCTGCCAGCCAACCATCCCCCCACCTCGCTTCACTTCACACAGAGGTGGGATTTATGGCTTTTTCCTCTCACCTCCTGTGGGGCTTTATTCTTTAAGAGTACTGTGGCACCTCTCATGATCCATCTTGTGTTATTACTATTTCTTGTCACCCAATTTCCTTCAACTGCCACCGACTCCACCTGACCTAGCTCCCTTCAGGAACAGGGACCATGTCTGACTTGTCTCTGTATTTACAGGGCCCAGCCTGGTGTCCGGCATGTGATAAGTTCCCAATAAATGTTTTCTGAATGACTGGAGGCAAGGGGACTGCCTACTTCCTCTCCAGGTCCTGGGGAACCTGTCACGAGGAGGAGACGTGGCCAGCCCCACTAACTCGGGCTAGAGGTGACCGAAATGCCCAGGAATACCTCCAGGCACATGGGCTCTCAGACTCTGTGGCTTTCCAGGGTGGGCCAAGACCACTGCTTGATGGGGCCCCCTGCCAGAGGCTGGGTAAACATCACCCAGCCTGAGAAAAACCCAAAAAACCCTAGCAGGGAGCTGGGCCAGAGGCTGTGGTAGGCTGGGTGCCCAGGAACAAGGCTGGCCTGAACGTCCTGGTGCCCAGCACACCGGGTTCGGAGTGAGGGCAGGACAACGTCCACGGGTGGAGGCAAGGAGCCTGGGGGCTCCCCGTTCCCAAGGCCCAAATGCCTGGCTCTGTTCCTGCCCATTCTTCCCTCATCTCCCCAAAATAGCCCAAGTTTATTTCAGCCCCTCCCCCACTTTACACCCCACCCCAAATGGTGACAAACAGAAACACCTCATTATCCAGAGACAAGATGTTCAGAGGCAAATGTTGGTCTGTTCAGAACAAAAAAGAAAAACACAAAACAGACCCAGGAAGAGACTGGGAGGCTGCCTCGGGACAGGGTTGGGGGACAGGCCAGGGCACCGAGCCTCCCAGGCTTGGCTTCTTGGCTCTCCCTAGCCCAGCCGGCTTGGGACCAGGGGGTCCTGCCCACCACCCAGCTAGTCCCAGTCAATGCCCATGTCAGAGAAGCTGGGGGGGCCTTCAGAAAGGATAAGTAGGAACAGAGCTCTGCATTTTCTTCCAAGAAGGCCTCCATTTCACTCCTCTGCCGGGCCAGGGGACACCTCATCACCTCTCGTAACTAAGTCCCCTTTCTTTTTGTTCTATGCGAGTCCCACAGTGAGAAAAAACAGAGAGCAAGCTCAGATGTGAGCAATTCTAGGGAGTGAGGGGATGGGAGCTTTAGTTCAGAGGAGGAAGTGAAGGGAGGGATGGCAGGAGAGCAGAAGGCCCCCTCTGGGGCCCCCTAAAGTCAGAGGCCTTTTCCAGGCAAGAAGGCACAGGAGGCGGCTGAAGCTGTGGCACAGGCACAGACGTGGGTTCACAAGATCTGGGTTTGGAGCCTAGTTCAACCACCAGCTGTGTAAGCAAGCCCCTCTGGGCCTCAGTTTCCCTCAGTGTAGACTGAGGTTAATGATCCCTGCCTCACAGAGGCCAGACGAGATACTAGAACAAAGCAAAAGTGACCTGATACGCAGTGGGTGCTCAGTGAAAACCCAGCTCCAGCTGCCTTCCTGGGACAGTAGGGATCCTTGGGCCACATCCTCTACTCGGAAGGGGAACATTATGGGAAAACGAATCCAGGTACTGATTTAGCCAAAGGAGAACGACTATCCTCCTTTTTTTTTTTTTTTTTTTTTTTTTTTTTATTGTTTTTAAGTTTTATTTATTTTCAGGGAGGGAGAGAGAGCATGAGCAGGGGAGAGGGCAGAGAGAGGCAACCAGGCTTCGTGCTGCCAGCGTGGAGCTCAATGGGGGCTTGAACTCACAAACCGTAAGATCATGACCTGAGCCGAAATCGAGTTGCACGCTTAACCAACTGAGCCACCCAGGTGCTCCAAACCACTATCGTTCCTAACAGGACTGATAACAGCTGAAGTCAGTCTAACCCCTGGGTCCTCAAGAGGTTGGGAGTGAAGGGAGGGGAGTGTCCTAGGGTCCCATTCCTCGGGCCTCCTGTGTGCCCTCAGCAAATAAGGAAGGTCTTATTCTACCAACCTCCTTGCTGCCAAAACCCTGCTGGTCCCCCTCAGTCTGGCAAGCCACCCTGGCTGTGGCTGAGGCTGGGACTGTGGGCGCTGGGCAGGTGGGGACAGGACCAGCCTGCCCCATGCCTGCTTTCCCACACCAGGCCACAGAAAGAGAGCCACCAAAGCGCCGCCACGGGCCTGGCCACCGTGAGGGGAGCAGGGGTGAGCACCCTGACCGACCTAGAGCCTGCCTGAATGGGAACAGCTCTGCGGGCCAGGCCAGTAGCTACGCAACAGGCTCCACAATCAGTTGAGTTCACTTTCCGTTTGTATCTGTTTTGCTCCTGTCATAACACACTACCCAACTGGCCAGCTGGGTGCAAACTGACGCCTGGGGCGGGCCCTGACCCTCTGCCCTACTGGCCTTCAGTGGGCACCCCACGCCCACGGCTGATGCTGCAGGCCCCGAGTAGGGAGGGTATGCACAGACCCAGTGGACAATACTTACTGGAAGGGCAGTGTTATTGGCTGCGGGTAAACAGAGTGAGGAGGGCACGGCCCCAGATCGCCTACGCCCCAGGCCCTTAGACCTTGAGGGGTGGCAGAGTAAATGTCCCTGCTGATGTCCCCATCTGCCCCTGGGTTTTCTGATGTCATCCACAGGAAGTACAGAACCTCAGAACACCTTCCAGGCCAGAATAAGAAACAAACCACCCCTTCACCTCCAAAACAGCCTCGTTCAGTGGAAAGAACATGTTGCAATCGGAGGAGCAGGGGCTTTGACTCACAGCACGCCACTATCTGGCTGTGTCATCTCAGGCAAGATGTTTACCCTCTCACAGGCCCAATCTACTGAATGGGGAGGAGATCTCCACCGTTAAGTTTATCGGGAGGACTAGAGATTAATGTAAGTACCTGCATGGCATACTCAAACCAAAAGCCATTAGCAATTTTTTAACAATTATGTATTCTCACTTGTCTGTCCCAGGAACAGCTGAATTGAAGGCTTGCTTCTGCCTGGTGCTCCTCAGCAGGAAGCAAGTCCACTTTTGGCATGAGTGCCATTAAGCTCCACATAGCTGTTCACATCGGTGTTACCGACCAGAAAGTTGGAATCTAAGGGAGGTTCCTGCTCTGCCCTTAAGTGTCTTTGACGGCATCGAACACCTCTGGATCGTGGTTTCTTCATTGCTTCAGTATTAGAATTAACCCTGCCCGGCCCCGAACTCCTGGCCTCGGCTGGAATGCCCTGGCGGATGTGATTCCACATCAAACGGGCAAGTATCTTGGGCTCCTGGAGAAACTCAAGAGGTCAACTAGGCTCTGCATTTATTCAACGAGCCCCCAGGCCGGCCGACCCTGGGGTTTGTTGAGCAGAAGGTAAACTCATAGATGGCACAGCCCCTTGGAATCCAAGACAGAAGAAGCAGAGATGAAAAGTTCCCCAGAGGCCCCAGAATGCTCAGGAACAGGACCTAGCTCCCCTAACCACATCATTTCATTTCTGCCTCCCTGCCTTGTCCCCTTTCCCCATTTCTAGGAAGCCAAATCTACTGCCTCCCCCCAGCCCCAACTTAAAAAGAGCCTGGATTAGCCTGTACCTGTTGCTCCCCTAGTACCCACAGCCAACAGCAGACACTGGCAGGGTTAGTGAACTGTATGAGAAGCCCCCAGAACTCACAGCAGACTCAGGCCAGGGCATCATCTGGGCTGATCTAAGGGCTGTAGGGAAGAAACAAAGGCAGCTCCTGGCCCCAACTTCCCTCTCAGTCCTGACAAAGGGGTCTGACTTCCGGGGGCTGCCCTGGGATGCCTTGGCCACCAAGACCTCTGTTCCTCCCAGGCCGGGGATGTGTCTGCCCTGGTCTAGCATTAACACCAGCCTGGCCCGCCCTGCAGCCCCACTTCCCAGCCTCCTGCCCTCCCCTGGGTGGGGAAGTGGAACTTTCCCTTCCATGACCTGGTTGAGGCCCAGCACAGGAGGGGCCAGGGAGGGTGGCAAGGGCTCTGAGACTCATTAATAGGATGACTTGGGATGCCAGAGGTGAGGAACAGCCAGGCTTTAGGCTGCCAGCCATGAAGCCAGGCACCAGCCTCCGGGGTTCTCTCTCTCTCTCTCTCTCTCTCTCTCTCTC